CTCGATAGGAAGAAAATATCCTCTACAACACATAAGGCTGGGACAACCGGATATCTGCCTGCGAAAGAATGAAGTTGGACCCCTACCTTGTAATATATACAAAAATTGACTCAAAATGGATCAACAAGCTAAATATAAGAGTTAAAACCATAACACTCTTAGAAGAAAATATAGGGGTAAATTTTCATGACCTTATATTTGGCAATTGATTCTTAGATATGACACTAAAAGCACAAGCAACAAAATTAAAAATAGATGAATTAGACTTCATCAAAATTAAAAACTTTTGTGCATCAAAGGACACTATCAAGAAAGTGAAAAGACAACCCACAGAATGTGAGAAAATATTTGAAAATCCTGTATCTGATAGGGATCGTCCATGATCAGAATATATAAAGAACTCTTACAACTTAACAACAAAAAGACAATCCAATTTAAAAATAAACAAAGGACTTGAAATAGACCTTTCTCCAAAGAAAGTATATAAACGATCAACAAACACATGAAAAGATGTTCAATATTATTAGTCATTGGGAAATGCAAATCAAAACAACAAGATTCCACTTCCTACCCATGAGGAAAGCTATAATTTTTTTTTTTTTTTTTTACAAAACAGAAAATAACCAGTGTTGTCAAGGATGGAGAAATAGGAATGCTCGTATGTTGCAGGTGAGAATGTAAAATGGTATAGCTGCTATAGAAAGCAGTTTGGCTATTCCTCAAAAAGTTAGATATAGCACTACCATATGACCTAGCAATCTCTTTCCTGGGTATATACCCAAAAGAACTGAAAACAGATATTCAAAGAAAAACTTGTCCACAAATGTTCATAACATCCCTGTTTGCAATAGTCAAAAGTTGGAAATAAGCTAAATGTTCATCAGCTGGTGAATGTATAAACAAATTGTGGCAGGAAGGAACCGATACATGCCACAACATGGATTAACCTCAAAAACATTAAACAAAGTGAAAGAAACCAGACACACAGGCCACATACTGTATGAATCAATTTATATGAAAATTTTAAGAATTTGTGAATCCACAGAGACAGAAGGCAGGTTACTGGTTGCCAGAGGCTGGGAGAAGAGGAAATTGAATAGTGACTGGCTTTATGGGTATGGAGTACCCATTTCCACTTCTTTTGTGTTGATGAAAATATTTTGGCATTTGATAGAAGTGGTGGTTGTACAACATTGTAAATGTACTAAATGCCACTGATTGTACACTTTAAAATGGTTAATTTTAAAGTACATTTGATGACTTAGACATTTTCATAGTCTTCATTAAGTAATAAAGCAGGTTATAAATTAAGTTTTAAAAATTAAAAAAAAATAAATGAAACAAAAGCAAAAGAGGATGAGGAAACAAATTAGCAAAGGAAACCAAGAGAGACAGAACAAGAGGCAGGGAAAATGAGAGTGGGAGAGTGGGAAAAAGAGGAGGAGGAAAAAGAGGATTAGGAGAAAAGAAATATGAGACAAGAGCAAAATTTTTAAGTTGGGTAATATCAAGTGTCAGTGGGGGCTGGGCAGAAAAGAGTGCTCTCCTGCATGGCTGGTAGGAGCGTAAGCTGCCACAGCCACTTTGGAGAATAACTGATCAGTAGTTAATAAAATTAAAACGGGCGTACTCAGTAATGTACAGCATGGAAACTATAGTTAATAATACTTTATTGCATCTTTGAAAGTTCCTAAGAGTAGATCTTAAAAGTTCTCATCACAAGAAAAAAAATTTGTAACCATGGCAACAGAAGTTAGCTACTTATTGTGGTGATCATTTCACAATATATACAAATAGTGAATGATTATGTTGTACACCAGAAACTCATATGTTATATGTCAATTATACCTCAATATAAATAAATAAAATGAATATACTCAGAGTTCCACTTCTGGTGAAACTTAGGGATATCATCACATACGTGCCCAAGAAATTGTGCACACAGCATTTGTTTGTCATATCAAAATGTCATAAACAACCTAAATAGTTAAGAGATGGATACACTGTGATATACTACTAACACGATAATATTATGCAGTAGTTTAAAAAAATGATTATACATACATATGCACATATACATGAAAAGAGAAATGACCTCCAAGTTATTGTACTGTCTGAAAAAGAGAGCTGACAAATATAGTTTGATGGCACACAATATACACTAGTATATGACATTATATTAATATATTACTTGTATACTAAAAAATTTATAATAAACAGAAAATGAGGATATGGAGAAAAATAACTGTACTCAGGGATTTAAAAATAAAAGAAACATGGAAGAAAGAAAGAGAGAAGGAAGAAAAAGAAAGAGGGAGGGGAGAAAGAAGAAGAAACAAGGGGGTGTGGTGAGCAAGCCAGGTTGGAGTCATGTCTGGAAGTAAGGGCGATTAACCAGCAAGTACATAAACCTCAAGGGTTGAAGCCAGGGGAAGAGCAAGTTGACAGCAAGGGGAAGGAAAAAGGAAGATCCTGGAAGCCTCAAATTAAAGCTTTCCCAAGGTAAGTGGATTGAATGAGACCTGGTTTAGTACTTAACCTGCTCCTAGCTCTTCACCATAAATATTTCTCACATTACAGTTGCAACCTGAGTTGTGCCAGCTGAATTGACTGTGTTTCTGTCTAGCCACTGAAGTGTAGTCAAGAGAATATCCCCAAGGACCTGAAGGGATGAAGACTATGGATCTCAGACACACAGTCTTTGAAGCAGAAATGCAGCTGGAAGTCCGAGGGAGCCCTAGACCTGGGGCTTATCTGTGGTACACCATTTCATTAGAGTTTTTGTCTCATGGAGACTCTGCAATGAAGATCAAGGCAGGGACATGTATGTGAAGGATTAAGAAAGAAAAAAATCAGAATGCAACAGGGCAGCAATATTTAGCACAAAAATTTATCAAAGGGACTACACTGCATGTACTAAAATGCTGAATATCTGAACAACATATACAAGTTATATTAATTACCATCAACTTAACAGCTTAAAATAACACACGTTTATTATCTCACAATTTTGTTGGGTTAGGAGTCTGAGCACAACCTAACTAGGTTGTCTGCTTAGGATTTCACAAACCCAAAATTAAGGTATCCTCTGGTCTGCATTCTCATCTGGAGGCTTGACTAGGGAAGAATCTATTTCCAAGGTCATTTAGATGGTTGACGGAAATCATTTCTTTGTTTGTAGGACTGAGGACCTTGGCTTCTTGCTGGCTGTTAGGTGGAGGTTGCTTTCAGTTATTAGAGGCTACCTACAGTTCCTTTCCAGGTAGACTTCTCCAACATGGCCAGTTACTTCATCAAGGCAGAAAGGAAAGTCTCTAGGTAGTGGTCCCCAACCTTTTTGGCACCATGGACCAGTGCTCTTTTGAGAATCCAATGCCTAATGATCTGAGGTGGGGCTGAGGCGGTGATGCTAGCACTGGGGAGTGGCTGCAAATACAGATGAAGCTTTGCTCGCTGGCCCGCCGCTCACTTCCTGCTGTGTGGCCCAGTTCCTAACAGGTCAAGGACCAGTACTGGCCCATGGCCCTGGGGGTTGGGGACTACTGCTCTAAAGAGCATCTACTAGCAAGAGTCTTTTGTAATGTGATGTTATCACAGGAGTGACATCCATCAGCTGTACTATATTTATTATTTACAAGCACATCACAGGTCTCAACTGCACTCAAGGGGAGGGGACCCCACAAAGGGGTGAACACCAGGAGGCAGTGGGAATCATGGGGCCACCTTAGAGTGGCATATCTTTCTTGCTTCTGAGTTTCTTAATTAAAACTAACCATGAATATAATCCTTAAAAAATTATTTTTTCATAATGTACATGATGAAATAAGCAGTAAAATCTAAACCCAGAGTACATTTAACATCAAAGCTTGTGACCTCTTCACTTCCCTAGCTGTATTTCAAAGATATATGTATACATCGTGGACTGTATTTGCAACATTTCTGAGTAAATCCCTAGGATGAAGAATAAGAGCAAGGGCCTGGGAGCAGAGTGGTTTCTAGCCACAAATGGGGTATAAGAATATAAGTATTTTTTGACCCTCAGTTCCAGCATCAATTAAAGGTTACTTTTACCATTTATATTCATTACTTTTGCAGTTATTCTGGGGACCGAAAGAGACATTGATTACTTAATAAATATTTGTTCCTAGCATCATTGTCACCAACATGATTATACAAAATGAAAGTGAGGGTGTTGAGAAAAGGGAGGGGATGGAAATCCTTGAGTAAGTTGTGTGTTTCACTGGCCCCTCACCTGCTACTGTATGGCTTGATACCCAAAACAAAACAAAACAAAACAAAACTTCACTAATTTCATAGGAGGAAAAATGTGTCTGACGTTTGCCTTAAATTGCATACAATTGGTTTATTACTGATTTGAACTTCTTTTGATCATTTGTATTTTAATGTTTTCCTTGTATAATTGTCTATGCTCATTTTTGAGTTGTTCATTGATTTGAATCAAGATATCAGCCTTTCTCTGTTCTATACACCCCAATAGTCCCATCCTCCTGGTCATCTATCTCATTTTGTTTATCAGGGGGAGCCACAGACCGCGTACCCAGGGATGCTTTGGCCCCTCCGTCCATGGCGGCCGTCACCCGCTGGAAAGAGTTCAGTCTGGAGACACTGCAGACAGCTGTGGGTCCGAATTCGGCCTCCGTGCCGTAGGAGCTTTGCGATCAGCTCTTTGAGCCTTTCATTTCTTCATTTTGAATGCGTCCACGGGGACCATTACGACCATCCCAGGCAGAAAGGAGAGGGAGAGGGAGG